GCTGCATTGAAAAGATTGCTCAGTCTAAGTACAAGAATTGTCAGCAAAATGTACTTAAAAGTATCAAAAGTAAAAGTCCCCATAAGGCTGAAAAAGCACCCCTGTGAGTATTTTACTAGCCTACATGTGTTACATTTGTTGGTGGTTAAAGTGGAGCTGATTTGAAGACTTTAATATATACTGTTGGGTGGTTTAATGTACCCTTTACAAAAACATGATTAACTTATAAAACATAAAAAACAATTAATCATATTTTATAAATTCATCAGGTTTTGTATGGTACACCAAACAAATAAGGACGCCTGACCTCAGTTAATGGCTATAATACTTTCCAATTTTTAACTTTAGCACATTTACTACCTGTGAATGTATATTTGTTCCCATCTATAACATAAAAACCTCAATTATTGCCATAATTTAATGTAAGCATTTTCTTATTTCCATGTGTGTAAGCCCAGTTTGTGGCGAAGGGAACTAGGTATTGGTCTGTGGTACCCCAAATAATGAGGAAGTAAAACCCATGTCCATAAAAAACAACGGTTGAGATGGTTGATTATGCAAACAAAAGCAGCTCCATGGACACGGCCTAGCAGGGCTTTGATTAAATTCGGGATTTCCATGTATTTGTTAGCAGTGAAGCCACACACAGTATAATAATGGTCCATGATTTGTCAGGACTGTGCTCCTTGGAGCTCTCCATGGTGCTGACCCTCTGTCCACACACCAGTGGGAAGCTTCATCCAATTACTTACCATGTCTAATCACTGACTTCACCTGTCAGTAAGCTAGTTAAGCCTTATTGATTTATTTATTTATTTAAGAAGTATCATTGAGATCAAGAGATCTGAGAATAAATTACATATATTACACACCAGATGTCAGTCACACACACACAGAAACTCAAATTAAAACATTCACAATTATTACATTTAGCTGTTGGTTTTATCCAAAGTGACTTACAATTGCTATATATGTCAGAGGTCGCACGCCTCTGGAGCAACTAGGGGTTAAGTGTCTTGCTTAGGGACACATTGGTGGATATCTCACAGTGGCAATTGAACCCAGGTCTCCCACACCAAAGGCAAGCATCTTATCTATGTGCCATCGCCACCCATTTATAACTTGCAATTTTCATTTTTCAGTATACAATACAATACAAAACAATCCGAGAACATCAGTCAAATGTACAAATATGTCTTATGTTCTCGTCCTGTTGCTCCCTCCCCGCCCAAGAACAAAAACAAAAGGGTAAACATCAATTGAATAATGTGGCTTCCTTGAGATACTAAAGAAAATAAATGAAAGAAAATAAATGAATACATTAATCCTCAGTATAGATGAAGACTTTAGGAACATAAAATCCACCGGAAAGTGACAACACAACATCCCCACTTCAGCCAATGTTTTTCTGCTTGTTACAAATCCTATGGGACATTCTTTCATACGCAGCAACCTATCCCACTTCAATTAGCCAATCCTGTCCAGTTCCTGAGAATGCTTTGCTGCCCTATCATTATTGCTCACATTTACCTTTAACAAGACTAAGTCCCTACACCCATGCTAGCAGCTCTGTGAGGCTTCACGCTGGCGCAGCAGCACTTTTAAGCTGCTAACATGCTGAAGTTAAGGAGGTATAATGTTTCCCATGTTCACCATCCTAGTTATATTAGCGTGCTAACAATTGTTGATTAGCACAAAACACAATACAGCTGAAGCTGATGGGAATGTCTTGCAGGTATTTAGTCATGAGCAGAAATTTGGATCAGATGGTGCTCAAGAGGAAAAGTCAGTGGATCATTGAGGAAGTCATTTGGATTCAATGTATGGAAACCAAGAATGCCTGTACAAAATTTTGTGGCAATACATTTACTAGTTGTAGAGATATTTCAGTCTGGATCAAAGAAGTGGACCAACTTTAAAGTCCCTCAGAGCAGTGGTTTGTTTCACAGTTCATTCCAGTAGTGAGGAGCATTGTGCTGGAAACCAGTCTTTCCCAGTTCAGTTTATATGAAACCGCTAAGCTAACCTGCTTTGTGATCTGCTGTCATCTCAACTGATCTTAAATATCTCAGCAACAGATGAAAACACAGGTTCTTTCTACATGTCCGTGATGACCTCTGACCTTTACATAAAACAGTGTTAAGTATGGCAGCTGTCTTGTGTATAGACTTGATACTATAGTGGATTATTTTTTTTAAGGAGAAACAAGCAAGTTTGTGAGTTTTTAAGACATTCCCATCGGCCTCAGCTGTACTTTGTGCCAATTAGCAAATGTTACCACGCTAACACGCTAAATTAAGATGGTAAACATGGTAAATATCATACCTGCTGAACACCAGCATGTTAACATAGCAAGCACTATCTGAAAGCACTACAGTGTGTAAGTATAGCCTCAAAGAACTGCTAGCATGGATGTTAGTGATGGTCGGTCACCCGGCTCCTTCAAGTGAACGATGGGAGCCGGCTACTGTTGTGTAATTATTTATTAACCATGTTATTTCATTAGCAGGGTGTTGTTTTGTCATACATCTGACAATTAAGGACTGGCAGTGACCGGCAGAAGTGGTGCTACATGAGGAGCTGTTTGGGAGCTGAAAGAGCTGTCTCCCAGAAAGGAGTCAACCCATGAGATCCGGCTCCCTTCAAAGAGCTGTAAATCCCATCACTAACGGCAGTAGACTCTTTGATTCCTTCAGTATAAAATGGCTTCCTCTGCTCAGCCTGCCCGGTTTGTCACGTAACAAAAAACAAGGGTCATATGAGTTCATATAATCTCACTTCTCTCTGCCCTTTGCTTTGTGTAAGCTCTCTTTTCAAGCCCTCTCTGCTAAGCTTTGCTGAGTCTTCTAACATCTGACAGTAAGTCGGGAAATTTCAGATGAGACATAGATAATATGGCTGCATGTAATCATCGCCGTTAAAATACAATGTCTACTAAAAAAAGACTGCAGCTGTAGAATTGAGCTTCAGCAGATCTTAATTAAAATTAAAATCAGTGCAGCCGGTTCCACACATTCTTCATCCTTGTCAAAACTCAGTGTCTACATTACCCACAATACAACTCAAACTGCAGACAGTTCGGATAGAGATTCAGTTGTTATGCTTATGCATAACAGTAATGGATTCTGTTGGGCTCTCTGTTTTCAACAGCTCCCTATCTACTGGTTGTGTCCCTGATTATTTTAAAACAGCTTGCGTGAACCCACTTTTAAAGAAACCTGGTTTAGATCCCTCCCTCCATCAAAATTTTAGACCAATTTCAAAACTGCCTTTTATTGCAAAGATTCTAGAAAGAATTGTGTCCAAACAGCTGCTCACTGTACTGGAAAATAACAAATTATTTGAAAAGTTTCAGTCTGGTTTCAGGAAGTACCACAGCACTGAGACTGCCCTGCTTAAAGTCACCAATGACCTTTTAATGTCTGCTGATGAAGGCATGTGCTCAGTCCTGGTACTCCTGGATGTTAGCGCTGCTTTTGACACCATTGATCACAACATCATGTTAGACAGACTGAGGCACTGGGTGGGGATCTCTGGTACTGCCCTAGAATGGTTTTCATCCTACCTGTCAAATAGTAAATTTTACGTGTCTGTAAACAACTATGTCTCTTTGTTCTATCCAGTTAAATATGGTGTGCCTCAGGGGTCGGTCTTAGGACCCATTTTGTTTTCCTTGTATCTGCTTCCCCATGAACATATTATCCATAAACATGGCATTTCTTTTCATATTTATGCTGATGACACACAAATATACTTGCCCGTCAGCTCCACAGAACCTGGAATGCTGAGTTCACTTACTGACTGCCTTTGTGAAGTTAAAAAATGGATGTCAAATCATTTCCTCCAGCTGAACTCAGACAAAACAGAAATCCTGGTCATCGGGTCCCAGCAGATGGCAAAACAAATACTGCCATCTGCTGGTTCCCTAGTAAATCACATTAAGCCTGTGGCAAAGAACCTTGGTGTCTGGTTTGATAGTAATTTAAATTTCGAGCAGCACACCACAAAGCTTGTTCAATCATGTTTTTATCAACTTAGAAATATAGCAAAAATTCGATCTATGTTAACTTTTAAGGACACCAAGACCATTTTACACGCCTTCATCTCATCACGCCTGGATTATTGCAACAGCCTTTTCACCTGTTTAACCCAAAAATCTACTGATCGACTCCAGACTGTCCAGAACTCAGCTGCCAGGCTTTTAACCAGAACAAAGAAATATGACCACATCACCCCTATTTTAGCTTCACTACACTGGCTCCCAGTATGTTTTAGAATTGACTTTAAAATTTTATTGATCACTTTTAAAGCTCTTCATGGCCTCTCGCCTTGTTATATTTCTGACCTTTTAGTCCCATACGCACCAGCACGTACCTTGAAATCCTCGGGCAGAGGTCTGCTGTGTGTTCCAGAGTCTGAAAACTAAAGGGGACAGAGGATTTGCTGTCAGGGCCCCGAGGCTCTGGAACAGCCTGCCCGAGGAAATCAGGTCGGCTGAGTCAGTGAACTCTTTTAAGTCCCTTCTTAAAACATACTTTTATAGGAGACTCTTTCCCGATTTTATTTGACTTTATTTTATCCCTTTTATTTTATTCTATTTTACTTATTTTATATTTATCTTAAATGTGTATTTTAGTCTTTTCAATGTTTTCTTGCTTTTATCTTGTATTGTTTCTGTATTATTGTTTTTTGGGTATTATTGTCTTTAAACTTTGTAACTTGTTTTTGAAAAGTTCTCTACAAATAAAGATTATTATTATTATTATTATGCAGCTTTGAGCCGTTACCCTCGAGGATCTACAGGGGTCTGTTAAACTCACTTCTTTCTAACTCCTGACCCCAAGTTTCTTTCATTTTCAAGCTTTTAGTCTTCAGACACAGCCGATACTCAGGTGACATCACTTAAGGCAATATGTCAGACTACACACAGCTCCCTCTGGAGCCTTAAAACAACTTTGTTCATATATACAAATAGTACTCCCCAAGACCTGTAAACCGACTTTCACATGTAAATCAATCAATTTTTATTGACAATGGTATTCACACAATACCAATATTTTTCGATATTCTTCTCAATGCTTCTATAGACTTTTATAAATAAAATAGGGACACATTTTAAAAGCACTTAACAGGTATTTTTAATTTTACCATAAATAATAAAAATGGTACATCTTGTTTTCACTACAAACAAACAAAACTCAAATAAATTGATCTACAGCTTCCTAGAAGCTAACAGAAATAAATAAATAACAATATAAAAACATTGCAAAACATAACGGTGTAAATCATGATTAGTAGTGAATAAAGAACGTAGCATCTCCCCTGCATAATTGGTTAAAAGTACATCAGCAAAACAAGCATGTTGGCTTTCTAAGTGGAGTTAATTAAATTATGCCGGCGCTGTTGCTTTCTATAGCTGATAACTTGAGTTTATCTGATGCCTTTACTTGAGGTAAAAAATATATATATAGGTTACAATCACAAGGTGCTCAGACTTTATCAAGTACAGCAGGAAAAAACATTTAACTTAGCTTTGACTCTCTATATCGCAGTTTCAGTGGATTTTCATTTTCGAAAAAGGTGGAATGGAAGATGACATTAAATAACAGTGATATAATATCTGCAAATTTACATTAACGTGCAACAAATTAAGCTACTAGTACTAGTACTGAGTACTGACACTGAGTAAAAACGAAAAAATGGATACCACGCAACCTTTCTCGAATCATTAAAAACACGCTCCTCAGGAGGTTTTCCATAATTAAAATATACTCTGTATATCCAAATAGGCCAGGCTCACAGGTAATCTGTATCCTTAAACAAAACTTGGTTCTAAAAAAAAATACAGATTTTAGCTCAGTTTACTTGCTTACAATATTTAATATTTACTACGAGGTCATTTCTTTGAATGTTAGTTCTAGAAATGGTGAGACGATCCTGCTTCAGTCTTGTGTCTACACTGGATGCATTCAGCCACAGTACTGCTGGGAGGTCAGACGGGTTTAGTGCAGCGCTCACAGTCAAAATCAGACACTGTTAAAAAAATTGATTTGAAGCCTAAAAAGACACTTTGGTTCGAGGTTACGTGCCTTTAGGCAGGACTAAGTAACTTTTGAAAAAGGAAATGCCACAACCTTTCTCTTTGATAAATGAAAAGTTGGGTGCTGTAACAAAATATGCAGCATTATTAAATACATTAAGTAATTAAACACAGCCAAACTTCTCCTGGCTGGAATGACCAGTTAGCTTATGGTAGCTAATGTTAGCAAACATTACACATTTAGTCAGTTCACCAATCAATGACTCTTCTGCATGTGCTTTTTTGTTATTTGTGGCCTCAGGGGCCGCTGATACGTTAAGTCGCATAATCTCACTTCACGCTGTATTGATTAAAATTGAAGCAGCTTTCAGTCATCATCCGTTTCACAGGTGTCTGACTGATACACAAAGATATTTGGCTTTCCTTTCACCAGTGTTTCACACACACTTTAGGCATTTAGTTTTGTGTTTTTTCTTCAACTTGCATGTAACTACAGTGACTGTATGGGGCTCTAAACGCTACAGAAACCTGTCCGATCACACAAGCAGTATGATGTACTTGAACACATCAAGTGACACAGGTTTGGGCCTCATAACTGAAAAATACAGCTGAAATGTCATCTTTTAAGGGCAGACATTTATGGACTTTGAATAGACCTTTAAATAGTAACTTACCTGCAGACTAGAGTACACCTGTACATCACTGCATCAAGGTAAGAAGTTAAGCCACTGGATGTTCAAAAAAAACTGGTAGTAGTAGTAGTGTTTTTCATTGGCCTGGATTTCACTGGAAAGTGTTGGCATTTCATTTTTTTGCTTCAGTGTTTTTCCTTTTTAAAAGGAAGAAAATTTAAATATTTGGGGGGAAACATAACACTTATGTTGAAGAATGATTTAAAGGGTCACATTTTTAAGACATGTGCACAAAATATTGTAAACTTCAATACAAAAACAATATCAGCCAAGTTATACTAAAAATGGAACATCCATCCTTTTGCTTTTTGGTCCAATCAGCCATAACTGTCTCCCTTCAGCTTCACCACCATGTGATCTTGAACTCATAGATGGGCCTCTTGCAGTAGTAATGGTTGATAAGATGCTTGTCACAGACGCCGATGCACTGCTGCTCCGCAGTGATGCCACGCTCGGCCAGGTCACTGACGATGCAGTGCAGCAGGTCATAAACGTCCGCCACTGCCTCCCAAGGTCCGAAGGAAACGTCCACCTCGCAGTGATGCTCAAAGAGCTTGGCCTCGCTGTCCGAGCGTTCAAAACGCAGTGAGTTAAAAAGAGGACGTTCATATGGCGTGATAGGCATCTCCTCCTTGTAGACGCAGATCTTCAACTTGGCAAACCGTGCCTTCTTCTGTATGGCCCTCAGTTTGGCAATCTCCACAATACGCTCCAGATTGTCTGAAATGAAAACAGTTACATTTATGATGTAATGGTGCACATTTTCCAAAATGTAAACAGATATAAGCTAAAAAAGAATGCCCAGTGTCAGACTTTGAAAACTCCTGCAATGGTGCACAGTTGTGTAAACAGGTGAAGCTTTGCTGCTCATGTAAGATTTTATTGTTTTCCATAGTCAATGAACATTTACATCCATCCTCATTTCAGCATGGGAGGGAGACAGACTCACAGACTTACCTTTGTAGTAGGGCATCAGATCGAGGAACGCTTGTCGGACTTTCTCCCCTGTGAGCGGCTGAGAGTCCTCCAGGCTGTCCAGCAGCGGGCCAATGGAGTAGTACTGAGCCTCTCTGTGCACCGCTCGCACCCGGTCCCTGTGAGGAAGCTCGCCTTCTCGGAGGAAGTTCAGGATGTCCCTTTGGATGGAAACAGTGTCACTAGAACTAATCCACACAAAACCATAACCCTACCTAATGATTCATACTTTTAACAACTCGGCTTTGATGCAAGGGGATGTACTCTATTTAAAAAATGTAGCTGCAGCCTCATGTCCAGTCGCTCTTTTTTTGTTACCTCACTTTGAAAGTTTAAATCACAAGTTTGAATCAAGCTGCAACCTGTGGGGCTTAAATAAAGCCAACGAGAAGAGTCAAAAACTGCAGTTCAAAGAAAGGCCGATTCCAAAAGCGAGTCAATCTCCGTACATCACCCGTATAAATTACATTAAGACTTAAAGTTATGCATGAATAAGAGTGGGATGCTATGAGTGACAGGTGGGAGCCATCACAGGTGGCCAGGTTTCAGCAACCAGGCTTCATTCGGCCTGCCACGGCAATTTTAGGACTAACAAGAGTCAGGAACTGCCAATATGGCGATGGCCGGGGCCTCCCACACTGAGCTTCATAGCGGCTCTGCAGAAACCTATGGGTGACATCATGGAGACTACGTCCGTGTTTTATACAGTGCATGGTTTGAACCATCAGCATTTCTTTCATTGTGCATAAAGCACTCAAAAGGCAAGACTGCCTTATGGAAATAGTTGCTGCTGTACAAAGACACGACATAAATGTGTCAACATGTCGCAATATTGTTGATATAATGATATGCCTCCCTGCGATGGACTGGCGACCTGTCCAGGGTGTACCCCGCCTTGCGCCCGATGTCACTGTTACACTGTAAACAGGTAATGTCTTATTGTTTATTATCTATTTTCATACCTACACACTAGCTGTATGTCTGCTTATCTTTATTTAGCTGTCTGGTTAGTCTATTTGAATCTTGTATAGTTGTTCTCAGCACTGTGTGGCTACTGACAACTAGACTCAAAATCTTTGCATGTATCCACACACTTGGCCAATAAAATTGATTTTGATTCTGCATCTCTGCAGCAGAACCTGGAAGGCTCGTGAACATAGAGGTTAAAAGGAATGAAGGAAAAAAACAGAGAACCCCTGGAGGAAAAGCTGCTGCAGTGTCCAACACACCAGCAACTTGGAAGAAGATTTATTTTGCAGAAAGACAATAGCTCCAAAAACATACAGTTCGCTGAAAACACCGTGTTAATGTCTCAAATGAAAAGGCTCCTTCTGAGTGTCTGAGTACACCTGCAGTGGTCCAGCTGCCTCTATGACTTATTTTATTACTTCATACAGTTGCATATCTTCCATCTCTCATTCTGCAAGTTTCTTATTTTTAAATCTTTATACACATCTCCTCACACACACACAGCTACATTCACACAGAACGGACCTTAGCCCAACCCACTACTTACATAATTTATAACATCTTGACTGTGAAAAAAAAACTGTAAAGCAGTTTGGTTTTGCTTTTTAGCCATGGCTCCAGGGATGCTAATGTTGGTCAGTCAGAACATCACTTTGGTCCAGACTGAAATATCTTATGGTCCCCAGAGGATGAAGCCTAATGACTTTGGTGATCCCCTGACATTTTCTCTAGCGCCACCATGAGGTTGACATTTGTGGTTTTGTGTGAAATGTCTCAACAACTCAACTGCTTCTCATAGAATTTGTTACACATATTGCATTGTCATTGTGAGCACATTAGGACGCTGATGTTCGCATTTAGCTTAAACAGCCCACTACTGGCAACCTGTACTATATACTGCATTTTGTATGCAGTAGTATTATGCAGTATCAAACTGTTAAATTGATTTGGAAATAGGAAGTAAACAATAGGAGGGTTAGGGTTATAAATATAAGTACAACTAAAAACATTTTAATAAATCAAACTTGTGTATGGAGTATTGAAATTGTAAAAAAAAAAAAAAGTTCTGTTGTTTGCCTCTAAAGAAAAGTCCGGTCGTTGTTGCCCTTTCAACGCTTTGCATAATGGCACACAGTACAAAAAATTTACAGACCTCAGTAAAGATATGTTAATCTCTAATGAGGGACAACAAACACCTTACTACTTTATTTTAATGAGCTGCATCCTTTGGGTCAGTTTCCGCTGGCTTTGCTCACAACAAGCTATTGTGTTATTGTTTGGGACACAGGCTATATCGGCAGCTACATACATCGGCCATTTTGATCTTATCATATATACCTGTATATGGCATATATTGTATGCAACAAGGGAGAAAAGTGCAGCAGCAAAGAAATAGATATGTAAATCAGTTTACAGCACTAGCAGAAGCCAGACAGACCAGTTTGTTACCTGACTCATGGATACCTGTCAGAATATAATGAGTTGCCATCAGCAGATGGTTTCAGATTGCAGAGTGTGAACTTTTTTGTTTGTGCGCCGCTCTCTCTCTCAGTTTCCATTTACACTCTTCCTACTCTCGCACATAACCCTCCTCTGTCATACTCGTGAGAATATTACTGTGATAATCAGGATGTTGTCTTATTTTGTCTGTCCAATAGGGCTGTACATAATTAATTTAGGATTATTTTTTGAATAGTCGATTAATCTAACGACTAATTTTGTGTATTCTAAAGAAAAAAAAGTTGCCTATTACTCGATTAACATACCAATTTATAAAAAAAAAAAAATCAAAAACATGTCTAATCAATAATATTTAATTCAATCATCCTGATGAAGTAAGTACATTTGAATAATGACAATAGTAGCATATCTTAAAATGAATCAAATGAGTAAAGCTCACATACAGTGCTACTCACCCAAAATATGCCCCATCCCGATCGATGAAGTAGCGCCCTTCAGCGTCACGTGGGATGTAATGACGCCCGCTGAACATGGCGGCCAACATGGTGTCGTCGAATCGCCGCAGCGTGGACAGGCGAGTAGTGAAGTACATGCCCCCAACATTCAGAGAGATGACCTCTGGAAACTTTTGAAGGGGAATGGAAATAAAATTGGTAAAGGACTAAAAGTCTACAATCAAGCTAGTGGCCACAAGACTACTGCTTGTTACACACCATAAAAACAAATAAAATTAGAAGGGCGCTTGGAGAGCGCAGACCAGTGTTTTATGATACAAGCACAGTCACTTTGTCCTGTGTGACTTGATATATTTCCAAAACTATTAGAGTTACAGTGTGTCCAAATATGGTTGTGCCTAGCCTACTTCCTGCAGGTCGTGAAATCCACAACGCCGGCTTATTCCAGGAAAATCACATCCTTGATTGCTGATTTCTTACATACCTGCTGCATATGTTTCTGCAGTGATGTTTGACGTGGCTGTTGTGTTTTGTTGCATGTTACACCATTCACTTTAATTATGAGTTCAGCTCATTTTGTCAAAGACAACAGGGTTACACTTGACCTATCTCGCAATGTTAACTAGGGACGCACAATAATTATCGATCAGATAAATGTTCGGCGGATATTGGGCATATTTTCATTATCAGAATCATATCGGAAAATTTAATTTTGGCCAACAATTTAGCCAAAAAGAATCAAACAATGCTTTAACTGCTGATGGATGTACTTTTTTGTTTGTATGTAAAGGAGTACAGCAAAACTACAAATGAAAATGGACATTTTTAGTCAAAGATGGACTGTATCTGAATGAATGTTTCTGTACATGATATCTTAGCCATCTTATTATCAGGTGTGTCAAAATTACAGATTATTAACTCAATTTTAATTTACAAAAATGTGAAGAAATTTGGTTATTGGATCAGTGGGGGAAAAAATCCATATCGTGCATCATTAATGTTAAAGCAATGATCTGGTGTGTAGTTTTGTCTTTTTAATTATTTGTTTGTTTTAGACTTTTGTTTAATGGACTTTAAATACTTCAAATACACAAAGGGGGAGCAGAACTGTGTTAGTTAACTGTATTAACTAGTCTGTATTTATAGTTTTCACAGCTATAACTAATAGCACAGGTATTATATCTATGTCAGCAACTGAGATATAGTTTACAACTGATGCCTGTTTACTGTCAGTCCTAATGAAAATAAATATACAGTGTAGTTAAATAGAAAATTATTTGCTTAAATTTCACTTACTGTCTTTTTTTAAATCACAATGGATAGTAACTTTGTAACTGTTCATATTATATATCATATACAGTGATGAAAATAAGTATTTGAACACCCTGCTATTTTGCAAGTTCTCCCACTTAGAAATCATGGAGGGGTCTGAAATTGTCATCGTAGGTGCATGTCCACTGTGAGAGACATAATCTAAAAAAAAATCCAGAAATCACAATGTATGATTTTTTAACTATTTATTTGTATGATACAGCTGCAAATAAGTATTTGAACACCTGTCTATCAGCTACAATTCTGACTCTCAAAGACCTGTTAGTCTGCCTTCAAAATGTCCACCCCCACTCCATTTATTATCCTAAATTAGATGCACCTGTTTGAGGTCGTTAGCTGCATAAAGACACCTGTCCACCCCATACAATCAGTAAGAATCCAACTACTAACATGGCCAAGACCAAAGAGCTGTCCAAAGACAATAGAGACAAGACATTGTACACCTCCCCAAGGCTGGAAAGGGCTACGGGGAAACTGCCAAGCAGCTTGGTGAAAAAAGGTCCACATCATTAGAAAATGGAAGAAGTTAAACATGACTGTCAATCTCCCTCGGACTGGGACTCCATGCAAGATCTCACCTCGTGGGGTCTCAATGATCCTAAGAAAGGTGAGAAATCAGCCCAGAACTACACGGGAGGAGCTGGTCAATGACCTGAAAAGAGCTGGGACCACCGTTTCCAAGGTTACTGTTGGTAATACACTAAGACGTCATGGTTTGAAATCATGCATGGCACGGAAGGTTCCCCTGCTTAAACCAGCACATGTCAAGGCCCGTCTTCAGTTTGCCAATGACCATTTGGATGATCCAGAGGAGTCATGGGAGAAAGTCATGTGGTCAGATGAGACCAAAATAGAACTTTTTGGTCATAATTCCACTAACCGTGTTTGGAGGAAGAAGGATGATGAGTACCATCCCAAGAACACCATCCCTACTGTGAAGCATGGGGGTGGTAGCATCATGCTTTGGGGGTGTTTTTCTGCACATGGGACAGGGCGACTGCACTGTATTAAGGAGAGGATGACCGGGGCCATGTATTGCGAGATTTTGGGGAACAACCTCCTTCCCTCAGTTAGAGCATTGAAGATGGGTCGAGGCCGGGTCTTCCAACATGACAATGACCCGAAGCGCACAGCCAGGATAACCAAGGAGTGGCTCTGTAAGAAGCATATCAAGGTTCTGGCGTGGCCTAGCCAGTCTCCAGACCTAAACCCAATAGAGAATCTTTGGAGGGAGCTCAAACTCTGTGTTTCTCAGCGACAACCCAGAAACCTGACTGATCTAGAGAAGATCTGTGTGGAGGAGTGGGCCAGAATCCCTCCTGCAGTGTGTGCAAACCTGGTGAAAAACTACAGGAAACGTTTGACCTCTGTAATTGCAAACAAAGGCTACTGTACCAAATATTAACATTGATTTTCTCAGGTGTTCAAATACTTATTTGCAGCTGTATCATACAAATAAATAGTTAAAAAATCATACATTGTGATTTCTGGATTATTTTTTTTAGATTATGTCTCTCACAGTGGACATGCACCTACGATGACAATTTCAGACCCCTCCATGATTTCTAAGTGGGAGAACTTGCAAAATAGCAGGGTGTTAAAATACTTATTTTCCTCACTGTATATCATATCTATCTACTTTTTAGGTTTTGTAAATGCCAAGTTTGTTCTTGAAATGTAATTTTGAATGATGTAACTATTTGGCTCCTTCCTGTATATTGAATTGTTCTACTGGAACAGTAGTATGTACCCACCTACAGTAGCTTACCTTTTCCTTGCTTGTTTACAATTGGAAGACCTAACTGACCTCAATTTTAATGGTGCCAGTGAATATTAATTTTTACCTGATAATGGTCTGGGGACGGGAACATTATTATCAGTGTGCAAGATTTTTTGATTTCCACACAAATTATGGGACTTTAGTGAGAATGTAACTGCTAGGACACACTGAACTTTAACCATGTTCGTTAGTGATCCTTATTAATGTAATCCTCAACAGTATTTTTTACAGGGATGTTTTTTAACTGCATTACTTTATAGGACTTAAATGATAACAGTGCCACTATACATGCACATGCTACTTTTAGAGCAGAATGCAGATTACTTTATTAATGTAAATGGTGTGTAAGTTGTTTAAGATGTTTTTTGTTTTGGGACGGCAGTAGCTCAGTCCGTAAGGATTAGGCTGGGAAGCGGAGGGCCGCCGAATCGAATCCAGCTTGGACTAGAGTTGCAGGGTGTGGACTGGTAGCTGGAGAGGTGCCAGTTCACCTCCTGGGTACTGCCGAAGAAGGCTTGAGCAAGCCCCTGAAACCCCAACTGCATGGGGTGCCGCACTCATGAGTGGCAGCCTCCTCATGTGTTGCAATGTCTTCCTGTTTGTGCATGTGTGTCTTTCGGACCTATGTATAAAAATACTAACATAATAATAACAGAGTGAAAACATTGAGTTTCCCCGTGCGGGATTAATAAAGTATATCTTCTTCTTTAATAGACTGAGATCACTAGAACAAACTGAATTTTTAAGAAAAATGCAAATTTAATACTTCTTTGTATTGCTCAAAGAGCTGTGAATAGCCCGTGTGAGGGCTTCACTGTCAGACCACAGAAATAAGAGGATTATTCTGCTGTAGCTCTGTGTAGATCTATCAGGAGGCTTGACATATCAGTGCCTGCTCATTAACACAAGTCATGTGACACAACTGACAACTAATCACTGACCCCTGTATAAATATCCATAGTTACAGTTTGATAGTAGTAAATGTATTGAGCACTAAAGTATATCATTTTTATGGTTATATGGAAACAGTGACTCAAATTTACTGACTGTGTTTGTACTATTGTCTCTATTTTGAACTCTTCTCTGCTATTATAGGTATGGAGAACAGCCGTCATTCATAGAGTTATAAATCGTTTGTTTACGTTTATACCTAAGTAGGCCTATTAATGCCTTTTCAGTACGGTTTGGTGCTTGCAAGCTTGTGTGACTGCTTAACCTGATTTTACTCGTAACGTTGTAACAGACAGGTAAAGCGGCCTAGTTACCTCCTGCTCCTGGGCGTTCAGCGATGGGCGGAGCGGATCGCTGAGGGTGAAGTTCGGCGCCGGCGAGGCCGCCTTTCGGAACTCATCCTCCGCAGAGTCCGAGCTGGACATGGCATCGCCCGGTTTTTCGTTGTCACCCGCGGCCGAGAATACCACCATCACTCTGGGTAGTGGCAGCGTCCGTCGCTCCTGAATGAACCTCCTTACCCGTGTAGTAGCGGCGGGCAGCGGGCTGAAGGACAGAGACTGGCGATCCCTGCCACAGCCTTCAGAACCGTTGGAACCGTTGGAGCCATTCTGCTGCATGCGCGCGGCGAGCCAACAGTCGCCACACAAATCAGGGGATGATAGCACAAGCCACAGCGCGCGACTGTTAAAAAACAATAACAAGGCAGGGGCAGAGGGTGGGGCGCGAGCATAGGGGCGCGAGGAGCAGCTGTATGAACACACCCCGCTTTCAGAGCGAGAGCAGAAGTAAGGGAATTCCGCCCGTAAATTATAAACACTTAAAAAAATCAGGTATGCTGAACGTTTAACCCAACGTGTTAAAATAGAAGTCCGGACTGGGCCTGTGCAGTCTTAACGGCTCTGGGTTATACGTGCTGTGACGTGTCAGAACTGCACACCGTCATCACGTCAAGGAGTGCTCTTGGCCGCGAGGGAAATCCATGCGATGAAACCAGACTGTAAGCTGTAAGCAGCTGGTCAAAAAGTAACAAATAAGTTATTTTGTGAATAAAAATATATATTAATAAAGATAAAATTTGGATATTATTATTAATAATAATTTAAATAGCATTTAAGATTGTCAAAATTATTTTGAAAAGGGCCATTTAAAATGATAACAATTAATATGATTTTTCCATTTTGTCTCCCTATATGTCGTGGAAATTAATCGCTGGTGAGGAATTGCGCAAGTAATTGAAATACAACAAACCATTGTCTTTGGAGAATTTATTAGGGGAGACTGGGTATGGTTGTAACATGGAGAGAGTTGTAACAACACCAATTCCACCAAATAGAGATAAGATAGGAGTTAGGTGATCGTTTCAGTATTTACCTACTTCCTCCCCAATCAGGCATGGTGGTTATCACATCTGGAAACAGGCATATTCAGAATATATAGAGAAAAACTGATTTTGAGGTAAGAAAGTACATTTCTTGACCAAGACTGTTTTATGACACATTGACACATTGCATTTGACATCAACTCACGAAGTCTGTGATGTTCTTGTAGAAGATTGAATTGGTGCCATTTGTAGTGACCAAATGTGGGTACTTTGTATAAAAATTTGAGAACTCTAGCAAAAAAATTAAGTGAGTTATAGTTACTGAAGCAAAAAGTGTTACAACCACACCTGGTCTCCCCTACTAAAAGAGAATGACAGAGAGGTACTACAACAGAAAATCAGTTGGTCCAGAGACCTGCCGCCTAGGGCAGCTTCGGGCGCCTGGCCCAGAGCAAAGGGATGCATAATCATTTTGACAGTCCAGGTTTCTATTTTTTGGGGAACAGAGATCCTTTTCTGGCCTTGAATGAACATTCAAGGAGGGGAGAGGAACGGCAAGAAAGGAAAACACTAAAACAATCTCACAGCTCTGACCCCATCTAAGACAGACTAATATGAATATATATTTTCACATATTAGTCACCTGTCTCCCCAAAGTTTCAAGGTTGTGTAGCCACAAGTTAGGGGTACAGCTGTGCAACAGAATCACACTGTGGACTTTTTTTTAAATCTATCACAGCACTCTCAAGGTTCAGCACAAGCTTTTTGATGCCATAGAGTAATAAAATAAATGAACGGCTTTGTGATTCACACTGAATTCAACAGAAACTGAAATGTAAACAGAACAACTCAAACACAACTTGTGATATACAAATAAATAATTTATTTGTCTGCAAAAGACGTTATAATGTTTAAAGCCTGTTCTAACCCTCAGGGGTATTATTTCATTATAGAGCTAATGTGGGTGCTACTGTGAGCTATGATTAGCCTGGATCAAGCTTCAGGTATGAGCATTTGTCCATGGCCCATACCATACCCACCCTGTGGTGGCAGCTCCTCCTGTCAATGCAATGGATAACAATAGAAGTTTTATGGATGATGAAGATGGGTGTGAAGTGTTCACGCTCTATAAGGCAGGAATACATGGAATATTGATCCACCCCCATTTTTCTAAACTTAGCCCAGGTGGCTGATGCGGACAGGTCTATATAACTGCAGAGGCAGATTTGGATGTTACCTCTCAGGACTTTTGTGCTGTATGTGAAACTCCTCGCCATGGTAAGACTGCCCTCCTTCTTCTTCAAATCCTACTTTGTTTGCCTGTATTACTCACAGTGTTTGTTCAGGTCTCTTGGCTCATTGGTCTGGGGGTCTGAAAGAATATCCAGTGTATTTCTGGCACTTCATATTCTATATGGTCCACAAGGATGGAAGTCCAAAGTTATAGTATCTCTAAGTCTTTTACCTTTTTTTTTAACCTATTATTTTATCTAATTACATTTTATTAGGGTAATTTTTATTAGATATTTTTATTAGATATTTATATAAAATCAGCTGGGGTGGAAGAACTACTTTACAACTTTCAAAATGGCCACAAACTACCAAACTAACTGTGAAGGAAGCAGGGAAGGATGATAAAAACGGAGGGCAGGGGATGGACATCCTGAGGCAGGGCAGCACGACTCCTATATATTTATATATAAAGTGGCTAGTAACTTTGGAAAACCACTAGCCAAAAACATTTATGTCAAGCCCTAGTCTGACAAAATGGTGGCTGTAACAATGTCACTTAAACTGCTATAGCAACATAATGTTCACCCAAACCAAGTGCTGGTGGCCGAATAAAGGGATATCAAATGGATCAAAATACTGTAAGACATTAATGACAACACGGCTCACTTTAATATATAAGCAATCTCTATCAAATTCTCCCATCAGGCATCGAAGAAGGCGAAGAAGAAGACAGCCGAGTCTGGCTCCAATGTGTTCAGCATGTTTGAACAGTCACAGATTCAGGAGTTCAAAGAGGTGAGACGACGTCTGGCAGCTACGTCTGTCACATTTTAAGTCTTGGATCATAAATAATTTCGTCTGAACAAGCAGGCCATGCTAGGTTAAAGATTCCTGCTTACGTTTGTTACACCAGCTGTACACGTCTATCATTAATAAAAAAACATTCATGATTCATTTGAGAAACTGCAATAATTAATATAAATAACATTTTACATAACAAATGCTCAGTTTATAGAATATGATAAATTGTGATAGATTAATCTAGATTTAAAAGTATATAAACATTCATAACTAACTAAAATAAGCCCCATTTCCGGCTAGAGAATTATAATGCTAACATGGTAATGAATCATTCATAATAACACAATAATATTTTGCTAATAATAGCTACATCTACATTTTTAAAATTTTTTTATTCAAGACATTTACTTGTCCACTTTTAACTGTTACCGCTACTTTCATGTAAGTTAAGTCTTCCACATTTAAGTTAAGTCTTAAATAATAAGGACATTGACTACAGCAAGTGGTTCTCAGACATGAACTATCAAGGTCTGACAGGTTGCAGGTTGAAGGTGTGTTAATCTAAGCTGCTGTAGTTTTTGATTAATGAAAACATGCACACTAACAGGTGAGGATGCGTGCTGATAAAATGTAGTGAATTAAATGTGTGTTTTTCATTCCAGGCCTTCACCATCATGGACCAGAACAGAGATGGTTTCATTGACAAGGGGGACTTGAGAGACACATATGCTGCTCTGGGTGAGCCATTTCTATCTACACACAACGCGGATCTCCTTACATGGAAATCGCCATGTTCCGCCGCCATGTTTCTACAGTAGCCCATGGGTTTAACACAACAGTGTATGAGTTCACGTTCACAAACGGACAAGTTCAGTTCACCAAAAACACGAGTATGTTCAATGATCAGCGCCGTTTGAGCACACACTGCCTGTCTGCACTGTCAGACTGTAGTTGTTTTATTGGACATTGGACAACGGACCATTCCCCAAAACAACATACAAGTGTTGGAAAGAACCAGACCTTCAGTGCGTTACGTAACTCAAGTGACATAAATCATAAAAAGTTAAATACGTGGTTAATGTTGTGAAACGGTGGCCTTTTTTCCACCTATGAAATGTAATTTCATTTAAAACTTTAAATAAGTCAACTTCAGCATTCTTTCACATGGGACTTGAACCTCAGGCTACTAAGTGAAAGTCCTGAGTTTACTTGACACATTAAACCTTCTCATTACACGGACTTTGTTGTTCTTTATTACTATGTCATCTTACTTCCTCCTTTGCTACTGTCATACAGCCACTAGAGAACACGACCTAACAATGAACATAAATATGGGCTGTAATAACCTGCTGCATAATCAACCTTTATGGCTACTTTTCTGGTGAGGAGGGCTGGTTGTATCATGATTGTCAGCATAGCAGCAAAGTGTTTGATCTGTCTGTAGTGACCACTCTGTCTAATCTTTGTACAGGTCGTCTCAATGTTGGCAATGATGAGCTGGATGAGATGATGAAGGAGGCCTCTGGCCCTATCAACTTTACCATCTTCCTAGCTATGTTTGGCGAAAAGCTCAAAGGTTAGTCAGGATATCCTTTAACTAACTTTTAAACCATGTGAAGTTTATAGATTATGCTGACTAGAATTGTTTCATCTTAATTCAAACACCTGCTACACCAGGCTAACAAGAGCAGTGCAAATTAATATAATAAAATGCATTAACCAATAAATATGCTGTAAAAATGTATTTTGAATTATTTTGTTTATTTTTGTATTTTTTTGTTTGCTTCTTTTATGTGGCTCAGTAAAAGAGGACATAGTTAACACTCACTTTTATTTACCAGTACATAGCACTATTAAGTTCCAAGTTTTACTGGTATTAAAGATATATTTATGAAAACTCTTTCATCATTTAGGTACTGACCCGGAGGAAACCATTCTCAACGCATTCAAGATCTTTGACCCTGAAGGAAAAGGTGTCCTAAGAGGAGAGGAGTATGCATTTTCTTCATTTTCTTTACAACCAGACTTAAAGGTTCATTGTGTAATATTTAGGAGGATCTATTGACAGAAATTCAATATAATATCCATAACTATGTTTTCAGTGGTGTATAAAGACCTTACATAATGAACCGTTAATGTTTTTGTTACCTTAAAATGAGCCATATCTATTTACATACACTCTGGGTCCCCTTACATGGAAGTCGCTATGTTGTGCCGCCATGTTTCTACAGTAGCCCAAATGGATAAATGCGTTTCATCACCACATTGAATATGTACGAAGAAGAACAAAAACGAGTAACGTTAGTAGTAGTAATAGTAGTAGTCGACTGGTTTATTATAAGTAAAAAACAAAGAGAAATTTGGACAAATGGTGGACCACATGTATTATTTAGCACAAGAGCGTACAGAGTGTGTCGGCCACCGACACATCTTTGCAGTAGCATCCATGTTAATTCCACATTCCGATTTAAGAGCACATGAACACAAACTGAAGTCGGAAGAACGACTTCACAACTCAGGAAATGGGACCATCCAAGGAGCACATGAATGCACCGTTCGCTGGTTGCAATTCTCAAACCCTCACCACTAGATGCCACTAAATGTTACACACTGAACCCTTAAGAGTCTATAGCCACGCTGAGCTAAATGCTAACGTCAGCATGCTAACGTTGTTGATGTTTTTAGCATGGTCACCATCTTAGTGTGGCATGTTAGCATTCTAACATCCACTAATTAGTACAGTGTAGGAGGATGGGAATGCCATTCATTTTAAATGAATTTCATAACCCAAAGTATTGGACATATCAAATGTTTGACTTCATGATGGTGCTAGATGAAAAGTCATTAGGATTCATTTTCTGGGCACCAAGGATATACGTACCAAATGCATGGCAATCCATTTAAAACCTGTTGAGATATTTCAGTCTGGACCAAAGTGGTGGATGTGTGACAAACATATTTGTTATACCAGCGCTTTGAACAATTCAAATATACAATAAATGCATAAATGTTGAAAATATTTCGCCACTGATTACTCATTAAGAATGTGCTCAACTTTTAAGTGGAAAACAAATAAGATTAGAGAGTAACAAATAATAATATAATTTTCCTTTCACAGCATCAAGTACCACCTTATGTTTCAAGCAGACAAGTTCAACAAGGATGAGGTAATGCATGTCCATCCATCATCATCTGTTATTCCCTATGACAGAAAGTTACAGGGATCCTACCATGAAGAAGGGGTTGGATGATAATGATACATACAGATATAGATCTTGCCAGGTGTGTTGTAATTGTAAAATACATTGAACAATACATATTGTGAGAAACAAACCAAAGAAGAACCTGCAGGGCTTGCCGTGTTGTGGTAAACCATATTAGTAACCATAAGTATTGGGCTACTCGCGTTAACCCTAGGCCTAAACCACTGTAACCATTAAAACAACAAATGGCCACTTCACAATAAAAGGTTCCTACTGGTATAAAACTTTCCATATGAAGTAGCAACAGAAAGTAACTTGCTTCAGCAGTAACTTATCACAGCTCTGATACATCTGAATCTAAATCTGTTACATTAAATCAGGAACACAGGAGTGAAACCAAACCACAGAGATTCAGTTCCAACATACAAAAAAACTGGGAGCTGAACACAGAGCTTTCTCTCTCGTCGCCAGCACAACCACACCTGCACTGATACTGTACATTAAATTACTAGCAACCAAGTTGAGAAAAAATCCGGATATGTCAGGAATTTCAGACTGAGAGAAGCTGAAAAGAACAACAGAGGTGTCAACAAACCAAAAAACAGCTGCAAATCTAACACCGCTGGGAGTCACATCTAAATTAAAGCCAAAATGAACACTAATACAATCGATTTTGTTGATTTTTAAGCAGCAGTTTGTTTGCATCTGGTTTGGTTTGCAAAAGTAGCTTGTTAATTAACACGTTATATCTTGTTTGTTTAAATAGTGATCTTTAGAAGTGCTGGTAGACAGAGTTTTTTTCTTTGGAGAAAGCCAGGCTAGTTGCCCACCCCGTTTCTACAGTCTTTATGCTAAGCTAAGCTGATACTAATTATTTCAAAAAAGTGTCCAACTTCTGTTTTAAGAACTGTAAATTGAGAACTGTACTAGGTTGAAATAGACTGAATATATATTTAAGATGATTAACTTTGCCATGCTGATTATCACTTTTTGCTCTGACAACTGTGCTTTGAAAAAACACAGTGCAGCTCAGTTCGCCTTCACTGATGACTGACATTTCATATATGCATGAATCAAGCATTTGGTTAACTTGTTTTCTTGAGTTGTTACTGTAATCCCACTTCCCTTCCTTTAGGTAAACCAGATGTTCACAAACTTTCCCCTGGATGTTTCTGGAAACTTGGATTACAAGAACCTGTGTTATGTTATTACCCATGGAGAAGACAAGGAGCAGGAGTGAAACAATCAATAACATCCCTCAGATCACCGGCTAAACATGTCATCTGAGACACTTCAAACTGACAACATCACATGTTGTCTTGTGCCACCCGCAGCTTTAACAATAAAAGTTTAATGAAAGTCTTGTGTTCATGAGATAATTGATTTGGCATACTACATACTCTGGCTGCCACATTTATCTGAAAGTTAACATACCTCTATACACACAAGAAGGGATGTCCCGATCATTTTTATTTTGGCTTGATCCAAATCCCAGTACTTGCCGTTATCAAGTCCGATCCGATACTTATATAATATAATATAATATAATATAGATTATATAAACCTAAATTGATTTAAATATGTATTCACCGACTTTAATTTTGCCTGTCACATGCAGTGAAAAGTTTGCACTGTTGAGGCCACTGTCATTAAGGAGATTCATTAACATGTTATTCATTTAAATGGACTTTTAAAATGTCCAGTAAATGAGTGACTATATCTTAAAAATATATGGCAATAAGGCATGTTGCTAATGATGTTAATGATTTGATGGGAGGAAGTTTTTTCAACATGCATCATGTTATAGAAACGGATCATGCTTGAAAAATAATATTATGCAAAATAATAATAATAACTTTAGGTGATAAATGTAGGGGAGTAAAAAGTACAAGATTTCCCTCTGAAATGTAGCTGCAAGAGTAGAAGTAATTAACATAAAGTAGAAGTACTCTTCTGAAGTACTGTAGGATACAAGTGGGCCTACCTCAGAACTGTACTTAAGTAAATGAACTTTGATGGACAGGTTTTTGGAGAGGAAACAACAGTATAGGAAACTCTTTAATGACAACAATACATTTATGGGAGACGTCATCTTTTTTGAGGTATAAAATGGCTAGCATCGGTGCTGCCTCCCTAAGTTAGAGAGAGCCATAAAGAAACAGTAAATGTTCTTGTTTTAAATCAGTGATTTAAAGGTTTTAAAATCAGGTGATTTCCACTTCAGACGCTACTCTGCTAAGCTAGGCTAGTTAGCGTTTAGCTTGTTACTTTCCCCCCTCTATTACGATTAAGGATTTAGTTTCTCTCTTATGTGGTACAACAAACTCTGTTTATTTGTTGGAGCATCAAAATAGATTTTTTAATTCCACACAAAAAGAAAAAAGGGAGTACATTGGGTTTAGCTAAATCTGTCTCAGTGCTAGTGTTAACTAGCTGGAGTAGAACTGCAGTCACAGTATTTTACTCTGTTTTTTAGTTCTAGTGATTTTTAATGCTGTTTTTCACATTTGTATTAAAAACACCACTAAGCAAAGAGAAATGAAAACAGTAGTGTAGAAAACAAAACAGCAGGGGCAGATGTTTTTGTGTCCACTTCAAACCACACAGAGATTGTAGATGTGCGCTTCTGTGAGGTCCTCTTTTGTCTTCAGTGTGACGGATGTGGCAAGGTGTTGAAAGAGGAAACAAAGCTTGTGCTGCTGCTTCTGTCTGATACAGGAGAAGAATGAAGGCAGCCAGACCACTGAAGGTAAAGCACAGCAACATGTCAGATAAGACATTTTCTTTTGAGTTAGTTAAAGCATCGCAATCGCTCTAGTTGATATTATCTAAAATGTTATTTAAATGTATGTTTGTGGCTGACCTGAATTAGACTCATAGTTCTGTTACCGACAGTGCACCTCTGGATGGAGGTGGAAAATGTTACCACACATAGACAGGCATAAATGTGACCAAAGAAAAGAACGCAATGAGGCTATGTACAAGATTTTGATAAAAAAAACTACCAAACTACTGAGTGTTTTTATAATTATAATATTTTAGCATAAAAACACACTACATTTATCTGACTTATTAGTTACGTGAGGAGAGACCTGCTCATAAAAAAACTGAAGTAGCCAACAATTTATATAGTTAGATTTTTCTCCACCTCAACTAGGAACATAAAAAAAACCTTGGTGCATTAGTAATAATAGCCTACACTTCAAGTACATTTTGATGATAATACTTGTACACTGGTGTACTGGCAAAATTAACAATACTTTTACTTGTAATGGAGTATTTTTACAATGTGGTATTGCTGGCTCTAGCTCTAGAAGCTGAACATACAGAAATAACCAATAGCACATATAACTAAAATAATGTAATAAAAATTTGCATTAAGGAGGGAATTATACGGTAAAAAGAAATTACTCAATACATATTAAATAATTACTGTAAAGACAGGAGACCAACAGGAAGTGTAGGAGAAAGTTAGAATGTAGGCTAGTTATCCTATAATCATTATGTAAAATGACACAGGTACAGCTGAGAAAGATGAAGCACTTTAGAAAAATGATATTGTAAAATGTTCTTGAATCCAGGGCGCTTAAGAGATAAAATAAGAAGGCATATTCTAAATTGATTTGATGATTTGAGATTTTACTTTTACTCATTCAAGAGATGCAGTGACATGCAGGGAAGCATAAATGTGTTGTCCTGAGAGGCTGTGCTACAAGGCAAGTATGCAATAAAGAAAAATAGTTAGAATATGAGTAAAATAATCAGTTAAAGAATAATCTAAGAATAATATATTTTCAGCATATGTAATGGAAGAATTCAAATGCTAAATGTGTATATTGGCTCAGTGTGTAAGTTTTTCAGTGTAAAAATGTAATATGTACACATGGCACAGTTGTGTGAATGAGATGGCTTTCTTTAAAATATTCTCAGCTGCCAGTTTATAAAAATAATATAACAGTCCTGCAATAAATCCTACTTTCATGATGGTTAGTAACGGGTAGTAACTCTAAACTGAAACTAAAAAGTTATATTCAACTATATAGTAAGTTGGAAGAATGTAGCTTGCGGGATTGTTGAATTGTACTACAATATTGAGAGATGTTTCTAATATTTAGTCAGTCAGTAACAATATTAAAACACCCTGTTATTATTAAATCAGAACTGGTTAACTAAAAAGAAAAAAAAAACTATTAAAGTGTAATGTAAGTGGAAATTTAAGTGTAAAAATTACAATCACCAGAAATACCCTACACATGAAGCCATGGTTCTCTGCAGCAGAACCTGAATGCAACATGAAAACAACTAAATACAGAGAAAGGAAAATGTGATGCAGTCTGACAGAGAGATGTGACTGTGGAAAGAATTACTTTCCAATACTGTAACGCCCTAAGACATAACACCAAAACCACGCAGAGCTTCAAAACAAAGTATTATTGTCCTGACATGGCCAATCAGAGTCCAGACATTGACCCGAAGTAGAATTTGAGGGTGTGAATGAAAAAATAACCTGTATATCCATGTATATTCGTCCAACATGTGCAGAAATGTCAACCTAATTTATTTCCACATTCTGACGATTTATGCGCAGAAATTATTAATTGATGGGTACAAATTAATTCAAGAGCACAATTTATTAATTTATGAGTACAATTTACTAATTCATGAGCATGATTTATTAAATCATATGCACAAATTAACCCCCCCCATGACGTCTGTTGTGCTCCATACTTAGAAACGTTGACAAAGATTAACAGTTTTCTAAAGAAGACTGTATTAGAAGTGAGTGAATATTTAATATGCAATTAATTAAGGCCCAGTCAAGTACTGCTTGTGGTTAGTTGATTGACTACTGGAGCTGGGGAGCTAATTACACTAGCCAGCTGCGCTAGCGCTAGTCAGTCACAAAAGCTTCTCTCTAAACTTCTCTCTAAACAGGCCTTTATATTCTAAGGATTGCACATCATTTAATTTAATAAAGAGTTAGTAAAGGAGAAAATACCCCTTAAGAAAGACACTTAGCACACTTGTTCACAAATGGGACAATAAGTTTCCACAGTTTTGTAATTTTTAACAGAGCGAATGGCTTTGTGACTAACAGTGGCTTTGATACCACAAACTTCATATATATGTCAGATATGAGGTCCATCTCGGTTCATCTGCTGCACAGAGCTTTCTCCTGGATTATCTTATACGACCAATTTTCTGTTTATTCTGGACAAATTACGCCTCTTCAAAAACATGCTGAATAAGCAGATGCTTAAAAAAAACAGGCTGAAGAAATTAGTCGGGTGAGAACGTGTTTTAGGGTCAACTTTGGAAACTCTTAGGTCTGAGAAAGTGAGGTGTGATGTTTATTTAACTTACCTTTGACACAACCAAGAGCAAAACACATACTTAATGTGAGACCAGGCAGTCCAATATATATTTGTGAAACCCCTGCAGATATAAATGACCTGACCACTGTATTAAAGTTGTGACAGCTTGTGTAAATGTTTCCCGAGTTCACTGTCTTAAATATTTTACTATATTGTAACAATCTGATGCTTCTAAAAAGGCAGCGTACGAAGGTGTTAAGTCCCAGTTACAAACGGCAAACCGTGTTTCAGTTTCAGTTTGGCCAACCACATCCTGTGGTTCACTCTGTCTTGTTAACAGGAAAACAGCAGCTACTTCAACCATGACAGAGTGAATAAGTGTAGATCACTGACCAGCAATCATTGCGGTAATATAATCTCAAAAACAACCGCTCTAAATGACTTACAAATAACCTTTAACATTTGAGCTTGTTGAGTTGGTTATTTAATTCGTACAATAATTATGTCAGTGCACTCAGTTGGTGATTTCTGTCTTTTAGGTATGATAGGTAACTCCAGTCTGCTGGTTGCTGTCCTCCCTGTTGTGTCAGTGGTGTCTCTGAGTCTACTGTCTCTTCTCTGTCTACGATGCAAAAAGAAAACCAGTAAGTGCACTTTCTCAAAGGCTGGTTCCTTTGAGAAAGCCTAGAGTGTGAATGTGTGTGATCTGTGCATGCCGTAGTAGCGGTGGAAGATACTCAATCTGAGTCAAACGTGCGCTTGTGTTTGGCTGCTTCAGCTTTCTTTGCAGGCACGTTTTGAGGAGGCAATTGCAAGTGTAGTTTTATTCTTCCCAATTTACAGTGTCATTTTTTTGCACCGTGTATCAGTGTACCAGTACAGTACGCACCAACATGTACATGTAGGGGACAAGATGTAAAGTTAGGGAATAAGGGGTTAACAATGTGTGAAGAGAGGATAATTAGTTCTGTAGCTTTTTGTAAATCTGATGTGATTTCAAAATGATCATATACCACATACCTACAGGGGAGGGGTACAGATG